GTTTGTCAGCAGCAGGGCTGCGGTGGCTGTGAAGGACGAGGAAGAGACCCCGCGTTTATGAACGCTTTGCTCTGCCGGAGGCGCAGCGGCGTCAGTTGTGGCGCTGCTGGCGGCGTTGACACGTTTAAGTCTGGGTCCTGTTGAGGCAGGAGGTGGCACGTATCTCATACCCGCCTAAGTGGGAAGGCTTGAAACCGTTTCCCCTGGTTGCTGGAAGCGGGGCTTTCTTTTGCCTTTCCTCTAGAAGGGCAGGGGTCTCTTGGTTGTGAGAGTAGATAAGGCGGCTTGCAAATGTGTTCTTATTCAGGGGCAGCGGCTTTGTGTTGACCTCACGGTGCAGAAGACCGGGACTTGGCTGGCATTGTCTTGGCCTGAGCTGATTTTAGCTTGCTTGGCTGTGACAGCAATCAGTGGTCAGATAACTAGCACCTACGTTCGTTTTCATTTATACTGATAACTATTATTTATTCTGGCTTGAACTGTCTGTGACTCTAGGGCAGCACCACAGATCCCAGCCCATGAGAGTGGTCAGCCACTCACTGCTGCCGCAGTGCAAACCCGTGTTATTCAAGTAAAGGCAATATTAGAGAAAACAAGGAGAACAGAAAAAAATAAATAAATTTGGGAACCACTGAAAAACAACATACATACAGAAATAAACTCAAGTGAACCCCAGGACTGAGAAGGAAGAAATCATCACCATGTGCCTCCTGATGAAGAGAAGGAAACCTTTACCGAGAACAACATGATCTGCCTGTGGAAGACATCAGGATGCTGGTAACTTGTTGTAAGCAGCCCTCCCCTCCACCCCTGCAGCCATCAACCCGAGCACACAGGAAGGGTGAGCATAACATCAAGAAGCAGGGGTAGATACTAAGGATTTGCGTGTGTGTGTGTGTTTAGCAATCATCTCGGCTGCATTACTGAGGTTTTTCTATATTAATTTGGAATTGAAAAAGATTTGATTCCATTAAAACTGAACTAATGAGAACCCCTGCTCTGGGTCTGCTGGACTTAAAAAAAAAACCTTTATGTTATATATGCATGAGAGGCAGCATGCAGCACTGGGAGTCCTGACTCAAACTGTGGGAGACTGAAAAAGACCGCTGGCTAGCTTCTCCAAGCAGCTAGAGAAGGTTAGCCCAATATCAGGTGGTGTTGACTAAACAAGACAATGTCATTTTAAAAATGTCTTCAGCCTTGAATCCTGCCACTTTAATGCTGGTGGATGAGAAAGGGGAACTGGAACATGACTGCCTGCAGGTTATGGAACAGGTATACTCTAGCCAACCTGATTTGAAAGATGTGCCATTAATCAGTCCATGAATTGGATACATGAATTTCAACCTGGAGATGAAGTTTACATCCGCACCTTATACTGCTGTGAAACCGAAGGGTATAGATTCATGGATACACTATACCTGCGTGAAGAAAGCTCCGCAGAAGGAGTGGATCTCTGAAGAAACGGGACCACTGAAACTGAAGCTCTGTTGGTCCCAGTGAACTGTAACTGGGACTCTGACAAGTCATATATTGAGCTAGATTGCTAGATTGTATGCAAGGCCTAGTATCTTTGTATTGTGTTTTGATAGTTGTTTTTGTACCTTTGTCAGTGTATTTGTGTAAGTATACAGATTTCTTTAGCAAAAGAAATGAAGGAACTAAGGGGGGGATAATAGTCCTCTGTTGCCTATGGATACGGATAAAGCTAAAAGATGCCAGAGTGTTCTGTGCGGAACCAGGAAATCCATGGGAAAAGAACTTGCATTTTGAATTATTGCAGAAAACAGTACACATCTTACAGTTTGAAGAAATGTTTAAGTGGTTGACTTCCTGGTTCACCAGTTTAAGTTTGTGGGTAAAAAAGGTTATTGAACTATATATAATAGTTGCTTTAGTAGCTTTTGCGTGTATTTATGCATTGGTATCTTGTGCTGCTAAATGTTGTTTTAAGGTTTATGAGAAAATAATTTGAGGTGAGACTGATATAAAATAAACCACATT